TAGACAGGGGGATGTTTAAAAGGGGAAAAAAGCAATTTCCAAGTTATGAGGGATTGAGGTTTGCCATTGTCTCTGTATAAATCTTGCCACACAGTAAGACAATTTGGAAGACTAGGAAGAAATGATTGGGCAGAACACGTCTGGGAGTCCATAAGTCGTCCTGCTTCCCACTGCCCATAAACTTTTATTCTATGCAAGTCCTGGTTCTGATTGGTGAAATATAAAGAAGTGGAAAGAAACCCTTAGGTCACCCAAATCTTGACCTCTTGTGTTATTTAGAAATGGAGAAAGGAGTTATTGCTGGGCATTCTAGATCACAAGAGAAAGGTGACCAGAGTAGTTGACAAAGGTGGGAGGAAAATGTTGGGGGTTGATGTTTGAATTGGTAAAAATTTGATAACACACACACACACCCTTTGAGGAAAATGTGGTCTCTGGTTCATGTGACTTTTAATATTGTTCTTAACAACCAAGTCTTGGGGGACTAGAAAAGCTTTCTTTTTAAGTTGTGAAGCTTCATATCAGGAATAACTATACTTTGTTCTATCAGATGAAAAAACTTAAGTTCAGTTTCTTTGAAGCATCCAAATATTTTATTTCTAATCAGAATCTGAGTGATATTGTTAGTTAAAGTAGAGAATTAATTGTTGTAATTTACAATTGGTTTTTGAATCTATTGCACTTGATGCACTGTATTTAAAGTTAAAGGCTTGCTCCTTTTGAATATTTGTAACTTTGTCAGGGATGTTTGGAATGGTTCGTGTGACACTTTGTTCTTTCATTTATTGCAGTTTGAGAAAAATCCTTTTTTAATCATTTCTGACTCCAACTATCCGGTTGCCTCTGTGGTATCATCATTGTCACAACAGTTTACAGCTACTAGTATGAAGTCACACTATGTAATGTCGCATGGGCACAGCTTGGGACCAAATGTAAGTATCAGCACCTTTTATTTTCCGTTCGTAGTTGGTGGCGATATCTTCTATCTTGTAAGTTGATGGTTTGCACCGTGGTGGTCAACTAAGTTGAGCATTGCCTAGTGTGGCTCAGAAGCTCCAGAGTTTGCGGAGGACAACAGTGAGTGAGTAACCTGCACAATTTTCTGGCCTCTGATTTCTCTGGACCCTCTTGCTGGCTGGGTGAGGATTTTGTTTCTGCTGACATCTATCAATGTCTTTGCAAAACAGTCAGCCTCCAGAGGTCACAACCATCAGCGACTGACATTGTCAATATCTGCCATCCATATCTTGGTTGCAAGAGGTTGTGACCCAGTGTCCAATTCACTGTGCAAAATGTATATCGCCATTGTCCATCTGATGATCCTGGCAAAGTCCGAGTGGATGCAATGGCTTTTCAATAAACATAAGCTGATGGAATTAGCACGCTCAAGGATGTTGTTCTGTCGAGAGATACCGAGAATATATCTGAACCAGTGAAGCTGGAAACTGTTCATCCCTTTTCTCCTGCCTAACACCTGCTCTGCAGTCTTACCGCTGGCTAAGGATTAAGGCTTGGTTCACTCGGTAAGGTTGCTGCTGTTCCACAAACGTCTGCTCACCTTGGACATACACACAATGCAAAAGATGCAGCTGTTATTGATTTCAGCATCAAGTTGCAATCATTGCTGGTGATTATGGAGCCTAGATATGTGAGGCTAAGTGGCACATTGTCAATGCTGATAGATGGCAGCATGGGAACATCTCAACTATAGCATTTGTCTTCCGGATGATGGTCAAACTGAGGCATAATAGAGCCTGTCCATTTTCCACTGTAGGTGTTCTTTAGTATGCATTGTTAATGCAGCATCATGAGCGTTGAGCACTTCTCTGAGGGCTTGGTGCACCTATGTCTTTTTTTTGATGTGTTGCTTAAATCATATGGCAGAATATAGGAAATGTAAACAGTTCACAGAAACACTGGACTCTTAATTTAGAAGAAAAATCTCATTTGTTAGATTTCAGTGAGAAAAAAATAATAGTGCAATAATCAAAGCCTTGATTTATTAAGGTATTAAGAATAAAGAAATAGTATGTGGCACATTTGAATTTTCTCTTCTCTGTTTGCTACATGGTAAATTTCTGTGTAAATTTCCACTCGTCTTACACACATTCAGTGGAACAGCCATGGAATTCTGGAGAAGCAATGTAATCAACAATTTAAATCATTTTTTCTTTAGCTTCTGTGGCTCTTTTGGATTAGTAATAACATTCCCTTGGAAATAAAAGGTCATTTTGGACCATCAAATTATTCTTAATATCTTAAATATTAACACTCTATTTTGGTCTAATTCTGTACAAAACTGCTTAACTATTCTATTTTTTATTTGTCGCAATCACATCTGCAATCAAACCTGTTTTTCATTTTTGACAGGTTCAGACTAACACTCAGTTTTTAAACTCAAGTACATCTTCAATGACTTCAAAACCCAAACTTCCAGTGGGATTATGCACAGCTCCATCATTGGACAAAGAAAAGTGTGTTGCTGTGAAATGCTTTCTTCCTAGCATTTATGAATCGTATCTTACTAATAGCATAATCATATTTATCTTTATCCTGTTTTATTTTGATGGCGGCCAGCCTTTAGGTTAACTTTTGTCTCTATGTTCCTCCTTATTGCAATGTTGGTGGTTTAGGATCAAAGTATTTTAAGCAGCGCAAAGATAACATTCCTCTGCAAAGACTGTATGCTCACAGTACATTCAGATCAAGTAAGAATAGTATTTCTGTCACATGTAATGTGATTATTTTCCTTACTGAAATATTTTAATCTCAACCCTAACGTTTCTGAGCTTCAAGCAATGCCTTCCGGTTAGGTGGATACAGCCATCCATAGTGGTATTAACTTTAGTGCTGTTTTATTGTTGGTTCTTCTGTGTAATTTGGGAGGCCAATGTTATTTTGCACTTTTGAAATTTCATTTTATGGTCCACTGGGAAAAAATGTAATAAAAGTATTTATTGTATTATTGCTTGGGGTGGGAATTGAAATATTTGAAAACTAATTGCACATTTGCAATATTAAAATTATTTTTGATCTATGCATGAGTTGAACATTGGGAAAGCCATTCTCTGTAAAAGTCTTCACATATAATGCTAAATATTCTCAGTTCAGTTTTTAAGTATATTTTTGTTTTGTTAACACCTGAAATAATTTTCATCTACAATAGGAACACAAATTGCAAAACCTGGACACCTTCCTCCACTTTCTGCCTATTTCTGTGAACAAGACCTGGAACCTTCATGATTCTGCAGTAATTTTTGACTGTGGTTCCCTACTCTAAGAGAAAAGTTTGGACAGTCTAACATTTGGACTGATTGGAAATAGGTACAGTGATCAGTTTCTCCAAAGCTAATGATGGCTTAAGCAATTGCTGCAATTTATACAGTTTTGCATGTGATTTTAAAAGAATGAATTTGGCAATTATGGACACCTCCATGAGAAAGGGTAAGGAATAATGTTCTAATATATAATTGGCTTACCTTTGGAATACAGTGTCAAGTTTCAGAATTTGTCATTGATCTTGGACAATGAAATTGGAGGTGCAGCAAACAGTGAGAACGCTAATAATCAACTGCAACCGGGCAGACTAATGGCAGTTTATTACAGGGAAATGTGAGGTGATGCATTTTGTTCGAAGGGATAGGGAGAGACAATTTAGACTTAAATGGATAGTTCTACAGAGTATGCTGGGACAGAATTTTTTGAAGGCATGGTGTACAGTGCATCTTGTATGTTTAAACACTGCTGCCACTGAGTTGGTGGTGGAAGGAATGAATGTTTAAGGTGACAGATAGGCACTTGTTTCTCTCATCATCTTCTCAGTTATCAGACAGGTCAATAACAAAGGAGGTTCTGAGAATAACTTCTTCTTGCACTGTTTGACTTAAAATACCTGGCATATATAATTACAATTAACATGATAGATGTTTACATATTTGTTGTAAAATTTGTACAATGGTGTGGCATTTATGACATTACTGGTTTTTGCTTGGTATTGTTTAAACATTTGTTTCATCCCAGTAATGTCCAATAAAAGTTAAATAAATACTTTTATATTCCTATTGACTCATGTTTTTTTTTAAAGTTTAAGTTTATCAGCTAATTGCATGTTAGGCAAGGGGACAATTAGTGACATATAATTTATCTTCAGTTTGGCGATATATTTTAGAATTGGATGGGTTGGCTTCTTGCATGGCTGTAACTTGATGTGTTGACTGTTTGCAATGGAAGGTGGCAACCTATCGAGTTGAGAATTAATGTTGTCTGCGGCATATTCCTTAGCTCTAAAGAAATGTGCGTTTATATATTGCACCTGTTTTCAGAGTATTGCAATGTCCTTTACAGTCAGTTGATATTTGCCTATATTTCAAAAAAAACTTTTGTATGAAGCCAAGTCCCAAATCAACAGTTAACAAATGTGTAGGGATACATCTTAGACAAGAGAACTCCTCTCTCCTTCCGAATGTGCCATTAGGAATCTTTTAAAATCCGCTAGAGAAGCTGATCATTTGAAATTGTACAGCAGTTTGGTATAATTGGGCTTGAACCCACAACCACCTAGCTTAAGTGTTACCATGAGGGCATTGAAAGCTGAGAAAAGCTAAAGATCCTAACTCCTTTCCAGTGAAGAGTTGTATTTCAATTGTGTACTTGCATATATTATATAGCCACAGTACTAAGGCGTCAGGTTCAAGGGATGTCTAGAAATTCATGATAACCAGGATAGTTTCAACTATTTGCATAACTTCTAGAAATTCTGGTGTAGGATAAACTTGAGTAAGTACAGATCAAGAATCAGAGCAATAACAGGTTCACTGAGAAATCTGAAATCTACATATTGATCAAACATTTACAGATAGTGCATGATTGGCTTACTCGGGAGATCAAGAAAGACCAAAATTTTAGAAACGATTCAAGCAAGTTTTGAAATCACTTCAGTGAGGGACCAGTTGATAAAATATCTGCCTTGACAATTCAACAGTAAAGTTAGAAACAAATACTCAATTTTAATTGTTACTTTGTTTAATAAAACTAAATATTACAGTACATATTTACATTGATATTATTTCTTGTGGTCATCAGATTCAAGTAAAACAAGGCATTAAGCAAAATAACACCACAGAATGAAATGTACTTCTTCAGGAATTACTTTATCAATGTATTGACATTATTTTACAAAAAGCAACATTTCCAATACCCTCAAACATTTAAAGTCTGCTGATATTGCAAAATTAAAACAGTGATTAACTTCACTTCTACTTATCACAAAATGGAACATATTGCTAAAAAGGCCACTACATTAAGAAGACATTCTAACATACAAAACAATGTCATTTTCAAGGCTCAAAGTTCAATTAACAACAACTCAGTCTGAAGTTAAATAAATACCATTCATTACAACAGATATTAAAAAAATAGAAAATAAAACTTCAAGGCATAGAAAGGGTGGCATTAAAATTTAATATTTGGATTTACATAGCAAAACCCATAGTCAACAGTGCATCTGGTAAACATTTGAACTATTAGCATTTAAAACAAACTGCCTTTTAGACTAGCTTGCTGATGAAATTAGAAATGAGTTATACATTTCACTGCCTATAACAGTAAGGCATTCCAGCACCAATCCTGGTCAAAGATTCTCATCAACATGATACTGGAGATGAAGCAGCTGAATAAAACAGCTTAACTTTCAAAGCTAGCTTAAAAAATAAAATCACAATTTTTGTGAAGAGTGGAAAGAAATACTACATGCAATGTTTTGATTTTATTTAATCATGCTGCCTCGTGTTATTTTTCTTGCAGATAAACTGCAACCAGTTTTCAACTTGCGTTCAAGTGTTTCTGCAATATTTAAGGCTTAAGTATCTAATCACCCTGGCTTCCACTGTAATGTTCAAAACAGATGCTGCGCAGATTCTCCATATTCCAGGAGGACAGAAGAGTCTACAGCCATATACAGTGAAATGCCTCAACGCGAAGTGTGGACTGACTAGTCTTGGATCTCACTTTGTCATTCGTCCGTTTGTGTAGTTTTGCTTTTCTAAAGCGCAAGTTTGAATAACTTTAACATAACAAAACTCACTTTCAGCCATGTCACAGGGTCTTGTGGTAGCATCGAGTCAGAAGTCCTCAACAAAACACGTTCCCAGAGCTTCAGTAAATACTTGTAAAATTTGTTTCTTGAAAGTTTGTTCAATTCCAATATGTGGAGCTCACAATAACTACATTTCTGCAACAAGTTTGTAATCTTGAAGGGATCAACACAATCCTGAGTTGCAACACCCAGAATACTGGATTGTTTTATAGGTCAGCACCACAATCATTTTTAAAGACTGTAGCCAATACAGTTTGTTTTCAGTGTTCATCAGAAGTCACTGTGGGTACTGAAGTACATCATGTGGTCATACACTTGTGTCCTGAAGTAAAGGTTCTTTAGCATCAGCAGGAACCTGTGGACTATGTGGATGACTGTGGCTATTCATATGTTTCTTCCAGTTGGTAGGTCTTAGTGACATGTTTCTATATTCTGGAATGAACAAGGCAACAAGCAAGGCTAACAGCACTGAGCAAGCTCCAAATAAGAATGGTGGTCCAGGAATAATTGAACTCTATTTAAAATGGGGGGGGGGGGGTGAGAAAAACAGAGGGAAAAACATTCAGCACCACAATGCAAACAACACAAAGATTTAAGTGGCATTAATTACTATAAAAGTAATCCTACATAAAGTCGCTATTATCCGAGTAGTTGAGCCAGTAACTTGGAAAATCCCAGAACTGATTAATTTTCCACAGAATTATTTGAAGTATGTGGAACAATGGGTAAGTACACTATAACTATCCTCAGACCGAGAATCTGAGGAAGGGTCACTGGGCCAAAATGTTAACTCTGATTTCTCTTCACAGATGCTGCTGGACCTGCTGAGCTTTTCCAGCAACTTCCGTTTTTGATACTCAGATTGAGGCTAGGAAGGGGGAGAAAAATGATGAGGTTCACCTTCATCAGAATCTAAACATCTGGAATGTGTCTTGTAGATAGCAAAGACTGGGATTTGCTGTGACTCGACACTGGTAAAGGTTAAAAATCTTACGTGTTTTTGTATGTTCAGGTAACAGTCTTAATTCTTATAATGGCCATTCAAAAACTTCAGCTGAAAAGACTCAATACTGTACTTCATTACCACATCATTGCAGATCAGCAACTTAGGAATAAATTTACACATGGTGATTAAATGTCTATGATCTCATCTATTGTATGTTAAGTATTCATCATGCAATACATGTACAAGAAAAAAATCTTCCACCTTTGGAACATGCAGTGTAAATAAGGAAGAGTCAGGATGATATAGGTCTGAACACTAACTACAGATAATCACGGTTACAGTGTTACAGAATTAGCATTTGCTTAGCAATGCTATGTAAACACCCATACCTTACCTGCTGAGAACGACTATCTGCCTTCATACTGTCCAATGCCACAGCATCATTCTCCGGTACTTCATTTAGTTCCACGTGAAAAATATAGAATATAAACCCAAAAAGTGCAGGGCCCAGGCCATTACACAGCCCTCGAATTCCTGTGACCATTCCTTGAACAACACCTAAAAACAATTGTAACTTTGCATTCAACTTGGTACTGTAGTTCAAAAGGAACATTATAACAGAGATAAACAAAGACTGTTTCCCATGCGAGCCATTAAATTATAGGTTAACTGAAGCTATATTTTAGCATCATTGTTGAACTTTTATGTGGAAATCCAGATTAGTGTAGCTGTTTGTAATCTAAACCAAGATCAAGTGGAAGTCAAGTCAAGGTGTCAGTTCTTCCCTTTTTAAGAAAATGAACATTTTGTATTTAGGTCTAAAAGTGAAAAGTTGGTGCATGATGTAAAAGAGAATGACAGAGTACATTTCAGGGCACATCCCTTATTACTGAGACCTAAAGCAAACCAATTGAATTAATGAGAAAATAATCTTCACTTTAAAATAAGAAATGTAAATATGGCTTTCAGGACTAATTTAACAATAAAGTGTGTGCTAATATGAGGTATTGCATTTTGGTAACGTGAGCTAGGGCAGAACTTATACAACTTAATGATAAGCCCTGGGTAGTGTTGTCAAACAGAGACATAGGGGTTCAGGTACATAGTTCTTTGACAGTGTGTCACAGGTAGCTTAGCATACTTGCCTTCATTGCTCAGACCTTTGAGTACAGGAGTTGGAATGTCATGTTGAGGTTGTACAGGATGTTGGTGAGGCCAATTTTGAAGTAATGTGTACAGATCTATAGGAAGGATATAATTAAATTGGAGAGGGTTCAGAAAAGATTTACCAGGATGTTGCTGGGACTAGAGGGTTTGAGTTATAAGGAGAGGCTGGATAAACTGGGACTTTTTTAACTGGAGCGTAAGAGGCTGAGGGGTGACAATAATAGAGGTTAATAAAATCATGAGGGGCATACATAAAGTGAATAGCAAAGATTTTTTCCTTAAAGCTGGGGAGTTCAAAACTAGAGGGCATAATTTGAATGTGAGAAGATAAAGATTTAAAAAGGGATCTTAAGGACAGTAACTTGTATGTGTAACGCACTGCCAGAGGAAGTGGTAGATGCAAGTACAATTACAACATTTAAAAGCCATTTGGATAGATACATGAATAGGAAAAATTTAGAGGGATATGGGCCAAATGCAAGCAAGTGGGACTAGTTTAGTTTGGGAAACTTGGTCAGCATGGTCGAGTTGGACCGAATGGTCTGTTTCCGTGTTGTAGCACCAAAATCAAATATGCTTTTCAAACAGTGGGGTCCATGATCTCTATTATTGGCCCTCTTTAGTTGTACGTTTTAACAAGAATCCTAACAGAAATCCATAAGTTTTCCAGAGTGGCACTTTGGAACAGTCGTGTATGGGGAGGGGAAGCAGTAAGAAGAGAGCATGTCTTGGGCTTTTTAGTCAATCATAAATATAAATTTAAACTGTAATTCTACAGCACCAATTCCCACAAAAGAAAAAGCTTTACCTTGTTGATCTGGATCAGCATTCCTCGACACCAGTGCACTCACTGCTGGGAAAGTAATGCTGGACATGGCTGCCACTGCTCCTGCTGCCCACATCATCCTACAATTAATGTACATTAAATGTTAGTTAAGCTCCATAATACTGAAGGAAAGGGGATAAAAGTTATGGGAACAGGTTGACTGTACAGGATTAGAAATACTTCCTATTGCAGAGAAAATAATATTGAATATTTCCATTATGAAATTTCACACTTTTATGAAGTTAATTTCACTGCCTCATTTCAATATCATTTTAAACATTTTACATATCCAGAATGCTGACTGGATCATTATGAAGTGACACATTAACTCTAGAGACAATGGTATGGGACCCACTGAGAAAGCAGTTACAATTATCACTACAAGTTGGTGCTCTTACAGTAATTTGGTAGTGGGAAAGTCGTTTGGATGTGTGTATGTAAATTACTCAATTGGAAACATGGATAATCTATTGTTAATAGATTAAAAACAAACCAGTTATTTGGTGATGGGGGAAAAAACCCTTCAGGTGTATGTAAGAGCACTTCTGAATATAAAGGAGAAAATAAAATAAATTGGTGCTCTTGTGGTGCAGCAATACTGTCCCAACTCGAGTCAGAATACCTGGATTCATGTCCCACCTGCTCCAGAGGTGTGCAATAACATCTCTGAACTAGTTGATCGTACAGTGGTTTTCCCCATACCTCTGGGCCAGGATGGCCAAGGATCAAGTACCACAAGCTCCAGAGATGTGGTACTCTGAATGGGTTGACTAAAATAAAAACAAAGGCCTGGGCTCTGCACCAGTGGGAAGTTGGCTTCTGGACAGGTAGAACAGAAGGGTACAGTGGAAGCTGGTTTTGTGCTAAACAAAGAGCTCTTGTGGCAGAGTGATAGGGTATGTACCAGGAGCCTGGACTCGAATCTGACCTGCTCTAGAGGTGTATTAACAGCACTGAGTAGAAGACCATTGAAAGAGGAACAAGAGTAGGCTGTTCAGCCCCTCAAGCCTGCTCTACATTCAATTGGATCATGGCTGATTCAACATTTCTCATCTCCACTTTACTGGATGATTCTGGATGGGAGCAAAAGTAACAGGGTAGTTGTTATGGGGGACTTTAACTTTCCAAATATTGACTGGAAACGCTATAGTTCGAGTACTTTAGATGGGTCAGTTTTTGTCCAATGTGTGCAGGAGGGTTTCCTGACACAGTATGTAGATAGGCCAACAAGAAGTGAGGCCACATTGGATTTGGTACTGGGTAATGAACCAGGCCAGGTGTTAGATTTGGAGGTAGGTGAGCACTTTGATGATAGTGACCACAATTCGGTTACGTTTACTTTAGCAATGGAAAGGGATAGGTATATACTGCAGGGCAAGAGTTATAGCTGGGGGAAAGGCAATTATGAGGCGATTAGGCAAGATTTAGGATGCATAGGATAGAGAAGGAAACGGCAGGGGCTGGGCACAATTAAAATGTGGGGCTTGTTCAAGGAACAGCTACTGCGTGTCCTTGATAAGTATGTACCTGTCAGGCAGGCAGGAAGTGGTCGAGCGAGGGAACCTTGGTTTACTAAAGAAGTTGAATCTCTCGGCAAGAGGAAGAAGGCGGCTTATGTAGAGATGAGGCGTGAAGGCTCAGTTAGGGCGCTTGAGAGTTACAAGTTAGCCAGGAAGGACCTAAAGAGAGAGATAAGAAGAGCCAGGAGGGGACATGAGAAGTCTCTAGCAGGTAGGATCAAGGAAAACCCTAAAGCTTTCTATCGGTATGTCAGGAATAAAAGAATGATTAGGGCCAGTCAAGGACAGTAGTGGGAAGTTGTGCGTGGAGTCCGAAGAGATAGGAGAGGCGCTAAATGAATATTTTTCGTCAGTATTCACACAGGAAAAAGACAATGTTGTCGAGGAGAATACTGAGATACAGGCTATTAGACTAGACTAGATTGAGGTTCATAAGGAGGAGGTGTTAGCAATTCTGGAAAGTGTGAAAATAGATAAGTCCCCTGGGCCGGATGGGATTTATCCTAGGATTCTCTGGGAAGCTAAGGAGGAGATTGCAGAGCCTTCGGCTTTGATCTTTATGTTGTCATTGTATACAAGAATAGTGCCAGAAGACTGGAGGATAGCAAATGTTGTCCCCTTGTTCAAGAAGGGGAGTAGAGACAACCCTGGTAATTATAGACCAGTGAGCCTTACTTCGGTTGTGGGTAAAGTGTTGGAAAGGATTATAAGAGATAGGATTTATAATCATCTAGAAAGGAATAATTTGATTAGGGATAGTCAACACGGTTTTGTGAAGGGTAGGTCGTGCCTCACAAACCTTATTGAGTTCTTTGAGAAGGTGACCAAACAGGTGGATGAGGGTAAAGCGGTTGATGTGGTGTATATGGATTTCAGTAAAGCGTTTGATAAGGTTCCCCATGGTAGGCTATTGCAGAAAATACGGAGGCATGGGACTGAGGGTGATTTAGCGGTTTGGATCAGAAATTGGCTAACTGTAAGAAGACAGAGGGTGGTGGTTGATGGGAAATGTTCATCCTGGAGTGGTGTACCGCAAGGATCTGTTTTGGGGCCACTGCTGTTTGTCATTTTTATAAATGACCTGGATGAGGGCGTAGAAGGATGGGTTAGTAAATTTGCGGATGACACTGAAGTCGGTGGAGTTGTGGATAGTGCGGAAGGATGTTGCAGGTTACAGAAGGACATAGATAAGCTGCAGAGCTGGGCTGAGAGGTGGCAAATGGAGTTTAATGCGGAAAAGTGTGAGGTGATTCACTTTGGAAGAAGTAACAGGAATACAGAGTACTGGGCTAATGGTAAGATTCTTGGTAGTGTGGATGAGCAGAGAGATCTCGGTCCATGTGCATAGATCACTGAAAGTTGCCACCCAGGTTGATAGGGTTGTTAAGGCGGCGTACGGTGTGTTAGGTTTTATTGGTAGAGGGACTGAGTTTCGGAGTCATGAGGTCATGTTGCAGCTGTACAAAACTCTGGTGCGGCCACACTGTTCTGGTCGCCGCATTATGGAAGGATGTGGAAGCATTGGAAAGGGTGCAGAGGAGATTTACCAGGATGTTGCCTGGTATGGAGGGAAGGTCTTATGAGGAAAGACTGAGGGACTTGAGGCTGTTTTCGTTAGAGAGAAGAAGGTTAAGAGGTGACTTAATAGAGACATACAAGATGATCAGAGGATTAGATAGGGTGGACAGTGAAAGCCTTTTTCCTCGGATGGTGATGGCTAGCACAAGGGGACATAGCTTTAAATTGAGGGGTGATAGATATAGGACAGATGTCAGAGGTAGGTTCTTTACTCAGAGAGTAGTAAGGGCGTGGAATGCCCTGCCTGCAACAGTAGTAGACTTGACAACTTTAAAGACATGTAAATGGTCATTGGATAAACATATGGATGATAATGGAATAATGTAGGTTAGATGGGCTTCAGATTGGTTTCACAGGTCGACGCAACATCGAGGGCCGAAGGGCCTGTACTGCGCTGTAATGTTCTATGTTCTATTTACTGTTCTTTCCCATTAACTCTCGATATTCAATGTCAACCTTAAATATAAATAAGTATTCAGCCCCTCCAACTCTCTGTGGCAAGACTCTCACCTCAGATGAAATTCCTCCTCATTTCAGTCTTAAATTGGCACCCCTTTTTCTGAGACAATGCCCTCTCGTTCTAAATTATCCCACGAGGGGAAACATTCTCTTGGCCTTTACCCTGTCAAGACCCTCAAGAATCATGTGTTTCAATGAGATCACCTCTCAATCTTCTAAATTTTAATGACAGAGTCCCAACCTGCTCAACCTTTACTCATAAGAGTCCCTCCATACCAGGGATCATCCTTCTTTGAACTGCCTCCAATTAAATAATATTTTTCCTTAAACAAGGAGACCAAAACTGCTCGCAGTACTCCACTTGTGGTCTCGTTAGAACCTTGTACAATTTCAGGAAGACTTCCCTACTCTTGTACTACAAAACCCTTGAAATAAAAGCCAACATTCCATTAACCTTCCTGATTAACTGCTGCACTTGCTGCTGGCTTTGTTTCTCATGTACAAGTACCCCCAAGTCCCTGTTCTATTGTCCCTTACTGCAGTTTTTCTCCAATTAAATAATATTGTTCTCTTATTCTCCCTTCCAAAATGAACAACTTCATATTTTCTCATTATGCTCCATTTGCCAACTTTTTGCCCACTTACATAACCTATTAATATCTCTGTAAATTGTGTGTCCCTCTCACAACTTGTCTTTCCACCCATTTTTGTGTTGTGCCAAAATTTAGCTACCATACATTCCCTTCCTTCCTCCAAGTCATTTATATAAATTGTAGTTGTGGTCCCAGTACTAATGCTTTTGGAACCTCACTGGTTACAGGTCAGCAACCTAAAAAAGAACCTCTTGGAACCAAAAGAACTTGTGGTTTCCTGCCCAATAGCCAATTCTTTATCCATGCCAATATAATATCTCCAACACCATAAGCTCTAATCTTATGACTTTACCTTTTGTAAGGTACCTTGCTGAATGCCTTTTGGATGTCCACATACAACAAATCTACTGGTTCCACTCTATCCATGCTAGTTAGACTTATTCAAAAAACCAATAAATTAGTCAGACTATTTCCCTTTCATGAAGCTATGCTGATTCTGCTTGATTAGATTATGTTTTTCCAAATGTGCTACTATTACTTCCCTAACAATTTACACGCATTTGGAAAAGTATGGCCTAATTAGGGACAGTCAGCATAGCTTTGTGCAGGGTAGGTCATGTCTAACTAACTTGATTAAATTTTGAGGTGGTGATGGAGATGAACAATGAGGGTAGAGCAGTGGATGTTATCTACATGGATTTTAGCATGGCTTTCGATAAGGTCCTTCATGGTAGGCTCATCCAGAAGATTAAAATGCATGGGATCCATGGTGACTTGGTTGCTTGGATACAGAATTGGCTTGCCCATAGAAGGCACGGGGTAGTTGTGGAAGGGTGTTCTTCTGGCTGGAGGTCCGTGACTAGTGGTGTTCCGCAGGGATCCATACTGGGACCTCTGCTGTTTGTGATTATATATAACTTGAAAATGCGGATTGGTGCGTTAATAATTTTGCAGATGATTCAAAGATTGGGGGAGTTGTGGATAGTGTAGAAGGTTGTCAAAAGATACAGTGGGGTATAGATCAGTTGCAGATATGGGTGGAGAAATGGCAGATGGAGTTTAATCCATATAAATGTGAGGGGCTGCACTTTGGGAGATCAAGCGTTAAGGAAAAGTATACAATTAATGGCAGGACTCTAAACAGCATTGATATACAGACGGATCTTGGGGTTCAAGTCCATAGCTCCCTGAAAGTGGCCACACAAGTAGATAGGGTGGTAAAGATGGCATACGGCATGCGTGCCTTTATTTGTCAGGGAATGAAGACCTTGGAGGGAATGTGGAAGAGGTTTACCAGGATGTTGCCTGGATTAGAGGGTATGAGCTATAAGGAGAGGCTAGAAAAACTCAGGTTGTTTTCTCTGGAGCAGCGGAGGCTTGATAAGAGTCTATAAGATTATGAAATGCATGGATAGGGTTGACAGTCAGAATATTTTCCCCAGAATTGAAATGTCTAAAACTTAGTGGAATGCATTTAAGGCGATATGGGAAAAGTTCAAGGAGATGTGAGGGGCAAGTTGTGGTATATTTTTTTTAAAAAGCGGTAGGAGTTTAGAATGTGCTGCCAGGTGTAGTGGTGGAGGCAGATACAATAGGGGTGTTTAACAGACTTTTAGATAGGCCATGAATTTGCAAGGAATGGAGGGATACGGACCAAAGGCAGAAGGGATTAGTTTAATTTGACATCATGTTTGGCACAACATTGTGGACCGAAGGGTCCGTTCCTGTGCTGTCTTGTTCTGTTCTAATTGATTCCAACATTTTTTTCCACAGCAGATGTTAGGCTAATTACCCTATAGTTACCTTTGTTTTCCCTCCCTTCCTTTTTGAGTACAGTGTCACATTGGCAGTTTCCTAATCCTTCTGTACTTCTCCAGAATCCAAGGATTTTTGGAAAATTACAATAAATGCATCCACTTTCTCTGTAGCTGCTACTTTTGGGATCCTAGGATCAGTATCAGGGAACTTATCTGTCTTTAGCCCCATTAGTTTGTCTAATACTAATTCTCTAGTTATGGTGATGGTACTTATTTGCTCCCCCACATTCTTTCGTAATTAAAGGATGTTTGAAGCATCTTCCACTATAAAGATTGGTGCAAAATATCTGTAACTTCTTTGCTATTCTCTCCCGGTACTACTTCCCCAGATTCATGGTCTAAGCAGCCCATGTTCACTTTGATAGTAGGAACTGCAGATGCTGGAAAATCTGAGATAACAAGGTGTAGAGCTGGATGAACACAGCAGGCCAAGCAGCATCGTAGGAGCAGGAAGGCTGACGTTTCGGGCCTAGACCTTTCATCAGAAATGGGGGAGGGGAAGGGGGTTCTGAAATAAATAGGGAGAGAGGGGGAGGCGGATAGAAGATGGATAGAGAAGAAGATAGGTGGAGAGGAAACAGACGAGTCAAAGGAGGCGGAAATGGAGCCAGCAAAGGTGAGTGTAGGTGGGGAGGGAGGAGATAGGTCAGTCCAGGGAGGATGGACAGGTCAAGGGGGCGGGATGAGGTTAGTAGGAAGGAAATGGGGGTGCGGCTTGAGGTGGGAGGAGGGGATAGGTGGGAGGAAGAACAGGTTATGGAGGCGGGGACAAGCTGGGCTGGTTTTGGGATGCGGTAGGGGGAGGGGAGATTTTGAAGCTTGTTAAGTCCACATTGATACCATTGGGCTGCAGGGTTCTCAAGCGGAATATGAGTTGCTGTTCCTGCAACCTTCGGATGGCATCGTTGTGGCACTGCAGGAGGCCCAGGATGGACATGTCGTCT